TATTAACTTTTGTCAATCACCAGTGTCATAAGATTTCTTCTGAAAGAAATATTTAACATTACATGGTACACTTAACTTTTAAGGAGTAAATATAGAAATGTTTATAAGGAGATTTTAAAATGATTTATTTTTTTGAAGGTTGAAATCATTCTATCATTTGGAAACTTTGATAAACCCATTTTCCCTAACCATAAGACTGTCTCAGTGAGACCTACACTGGTAGGAGTGAAAACCATCTGACTGCAAATGCCAAAGCTGAAGGCATGTTTTACTCAAGAACAATGACTGAATGCACAAGATCCAATATAGCCTTTAAAACCTTCTAGCAATTTGAATTAGGAAAGAGGGTGAATCAAGATGTTCATAACCTCCTTACCCTTAACACAAAAAGCTGCTTTATTGGCTACAATGTAGGAGTTATAATTGTAATTGCTTTGCCCTTCCGAAACTCTTCTCCCATACCATGTAAACCATTCAGCAGGTGATGTGGGAGGATAAATTAAAAATTGCAATAGTTGGTCAATAATGTAATCAAAAGGAACCAAAGAAGACTTTAAGTGTATAACAGGAAACATAGCTTTAATGTTTTCCTTTTAAAATTGATTTAGTCTGAGGCAGGCCTTTTGTATGTTTACATAAGGAACAGCTCATGTTGAACCATTTACTGCTCACTGCTGAATAGGCATATCTTGGGAATTCACTATAAAGAAGCAAAACTCATTCACTTATAGCTCAATTGAGATCTACAAAATGTTAAACAAGCCAGAAAACAGAAATGTAAAAATAAGTAAAACTTTTTGAGTCTTAAGTAAATAAAAGAGCTACATATTTATCACCAAGTCTTCATGAATGGCAGCAATTTTGAAAGTAAAATGAGCAGTGGGTAAAATGGTTGAATTTTCAGGCTGAAATCATCACTGAGCTCTATGATGAGTAGTATAGGGCAGGACCTTCACCTTCAGCTTGCAGAATCATCTAAGGAGACTGGTAAAAACAGGTTTCCAGATGTACAGATTCTGATTCAGCAGGTCTTGGATAGACCTCAGGAATACCCTTCTCCTTTTCTCATTCCTGCTACACATATTTAAAATCACTACCGAGGTCTTAAATGTGAGATTTTTCAAACATTTATTGTTATAGAGTGAGAAATATTTATGTCATATAACTAAACAGGAATGGAAGGTTCTTTGTAATTACTACAGTGAGAAAAATATTGTAGAGGCATTTATGAAGACAAATTACAGCTGAATTAACTAGACTGTAAGCAGCCTAGTCCTAGTTCCAAATTGCTTGCAAAATCTTTAACACAATTTTTAATAAAGACAACTCCTTTTATAAATCTTACCATATCCATTCTATTGATATGCTTATCCGTAACATTTAAACATTATTCTCTTTAATTACACACTTTATTAAAAATTACTGATTCTGTTATCAAACTATAAGGTGAGTTGTAATAAAAATACATAAACACACACAAATGGTGATGATAGTACTAATACCACAACCTTGAACTGCCTTTCAAGTTAACGGTTTGCAAAGTGTTTCTAGGCAGATCATCACTCACAGGGTGTTGTAGAAGGTAAGGGAGATTCGAAACAGCAGTCCAATGCTACATCCTGACTATAAATTCAGTCTCTAATGCCTATGATCTACACATAACACTATGAGAATTAGCATTCAAAAAAAGATTTTATTAAAATAAATTTTTGATATGTAATTTGTTGAGAACTGTGAGCTTTCAAATTAAACTAAATTAAGACAATATTTCCAAGTTCAACAGACCAGAACTGATTTAGACCAAAGAATATGGGAAGCAAAAATGCTTAGATTTGGAATATGATAAAACAAACTCCTTTAAAAATAACCTTGCCACAATTTATAATCTATGGAACTTTTTCAAATCCACAAATATCACAAAATTGGCCATGAAGAATGGGAACCAGAAGTCAAGATTCTCAAAGTTACAAACAATATTAATTAAGCAATTCTGTTTATTAAAGAAATTAATACTATTTTTAAACAGCATTTTATTTGTTTTTCAATATATATTTTATTGAATTTTTGCACCATTTCATACATCTTGATCATATTTAGACACCCTCTTCTATCTATACCTCCACATAGCCCCCCACTAGATTTCATGCATATTTTAAATGAAGCAATAAAAGAGCATGCAGCAATGAGAGTACTTTTCCCTCAGCTTCATCCACTCACTTCCAGTTCTATGCTAATCATAAGCAAGCAATACTTAAAATAGCATTATTAATGCTGAGTGTTCACCATTATAATGTATGTGTCTGCCAGAATGTAAAGCAACACAACTCCCAAATTCAGCTAAGGGGAAACAATGTGCAGGTTTCCAGCAGCCTCATAGCTCTGTAAACCTATAATGCAGCAATTAAACTCAAAGACAACATAGCCATAAGTTTTGTTGTCCAACACAATAACCACTAAGAAAACATACATTAATAAAAACTAAAAACAAATTTTTTGAGGAAGTTAGCTCCTTCTTGAATGAACCACACTTGAGATTTTCAGTAACAAGATGTGGCTGTGGGAATTGTATTAGCTCAAATATAAAAGTTTTCACCACTACAGGATGGTTTATTGCAAAGTAAACAGCTGTATTTATGTACCACAAGACTGGTGAAGCTTATCCATTTTAACAGTATATGTTAAAGTTAAGTTAGAGCCTGCAGAGTGTGGTTCCCTGGACAGGACTCCTATATTCAACTGCACCCACCCAAAGTTCAAGGACCATTGTGAAAGAGGGGCAGAATGATTTTAAGAGCCAGCGAAGAAGTGCATGACTATATTCAAATAGTCCTACATGCTCCTGGTACCTTGCTCATGTGAACCTACAGCAATGGTATGAGCATGCACAAGACCCATGCAAACTCAAGCAAACAAAATCCCAGCACAAAACTGTGGAAATGGGCAACAGGCCCCAATTATTGGCAGCTGATTACTGCTGGATGAGGAAGAGCTAATCTTCTTAAAGGAAGGGACTCTAGAAAGGCTGACTGGATGCCAGTGGATGAAGTTGCACTGAGGGACATCTGGGGACACTAATGGGGCATGATAGGCCTTAAGACAAATGACAGAATGTATGAATTCCAGTGGGGGAGGCTATAGAAGGGTGCCAATGGGAAAGGGGGTATGAAGATGATTAAGATTGTGTAAGATGCTCAATATGAAATACACAAACATTGAATAAAAATTTTACAAATAAAGAATTGTGTACAAACTGAAATGTCTGTGTATTGATTCCCCAATACATCCTGCAAAAATCTCAATTGTGAGAAAATGAATAAATTCAGGATGATCTTTTAAAAAACGTATCTTCAACATATATGGTGGAATGCATGAAGTTCAGTGGGTGGGGTGTAGGAGGGCATGGATGGGGGAGGGAGTCTAAATTTGATTAAGAACTATTGTATGTAAATGTAAAAAAGCTCAATAAATTTTTTAAATTAGTGTCTATCAAGAGAATGAAAAATTCATTCTTGGTATATGCATGCAATGGATATTTAGTAGTGAAATCTATAAATGAAATTATCAATATCCAAGAGATGATTCTTATACATGTAAAGAAAAAATTTAAAAAAGATGTCACCCAAAGGAAGGGGGGCAGTGATCTATTTATTTACTTATTTTATCTTCTTATTACAGTTGTTCAATAAAAAAAAATCTAATGAACACTTTCTGTGTGTGTTCAACTGGTAGACAAAGGTGAAAAGATAGGTTCAAAAATAACCTCTTATGCAACCCAGAACTCACTGTTCAGTATGAGTTTTGATACACACGAGAAGAAATATGACAAAACAGCTCAAAGTAATGGTGTTGAGAAAAAAGATGGCACAGGAATGGGGCGTGCCCCAGGCAGCCAGCCTCTGGGCAGAGTCAGATTGAATGTATGTGATGGATTGTGTGAGGAACCTTATCACACAAGATGAATATTTACCTGACCATAGGTGCTTCTATATTGATCTCAAAGTTCTGAAATCAGGACTTGGCAAGACAAGAAAATAACTGAGAGCCAAGATGGCAGTGCAGCCAGAGCAGTGGTGTTCTCAGTAACTCGTGGCACAGGTATTTAAAAAAACATGATCCAGGCCTCTCAATATTTCTCTCTCTCCTCTCTCTTCTTCTCCTCTCTCTCTGTCTCTCTGTCTCTGTCTCTCTGTCTCTGTCTCTGTCTCTGTCTCTCTCTCTCTCTCTCTCTCTGAGACAGGGCTTCCCTGTAGCTTCAGCAGGCCTGGATTTGCTATGGAGACCAGGCTAGCCTTGAACTCATTGAACTCACAGAGATCCTTCTGCCTCTGCCTCCTGGGTGCTGGGATTAAAGGTGTGCACCACCATGCCTGGCTGAGGGCCTTCAAATTTTATAGCCAGGTTCTGTTTCCTGTTCTCTGCTGCTTTGGCCTACAGAGAATTCTTTCCTACTGCCAACCTCTCCCATTCATGAAGTACTTATAGACTCTCATACCATGATCCAAAATAAATCCTTCTTCTCCTAGGGTGTTCCTGCCAGGCATTTTGTTGCATTAATGACAAAAATAACTAAAAGAAAATTGGTGCCTAGAGCTGGAGTCACTGCTGTGATAAATCTGACCATGTGGTTTGTAGGCCTTTGGAACTGGTTTATAGAAAGAATATGAAAGAGTTTGTAGGTTTGGGGAACAACAACAACAGAACACCTTTAATGCTATAGGCAGAACTTAAAGGGCCATTGTGGTGGGACGGTGGAAGACTAAAATGCCAACAGACCTGGGGGCTATCCAACCCCACTAGAACTCAGATGATGCTATAATGACATGGACCTTTAGCATTTGGTGTTTACTCCCATGGCTTTCTAAGTTGCTTTAGTGTAATATTTCCTTGTCATGCCCTCATACCTCAGTTTTGGAATGGGAGTGTTTCCTCTTCCATTGTATAATGGGAGAATGTAAATATGTAACATTTACTTAGGCTCCCAGTTAAAAGATTCACTGAGGCTTAAAGGGGACTTTAGGCTCTGAACAATGTTGGGACTGTTAAGACAACAGGGACTTTTGCAGTTGGACTGAAGACATCTTGAATTAGGAGACGCCATGAGCTTATGGTCAGAATGTCACAGAGTAAATATGAAATAACCTCTACTTTTGCATTTCAGTCCTTGGACCCCAGCTGCTGATGTTTTGGGAGATTGTGAAACCTTTGGAAGGTAAGGCTTAGCTGGAGAAAGTGACTTACTCCAGGGGAAGGTGTTACATTAAGGTTTTATAGCCTGTACCTACTTCCTGTCCTCTCTCTGCTTCCTGGTCTGCCAAGCTTTGAGAAGGCAGCTTCACAATTCTGTCTCCTTCCTATTGCCATGCCTCGCCAGCAATGATAGGCTTACATCTCCTCAAACCATAAGCCAAAACAAATCTTCTTCACCTTAAGTTGCTTCTGTCAGGTATTTTGTCACAGTAACAAGAACACTAATTCATTGTTAATAACAACTGTGTCTGTGCCTATCATTGTTAATAGCAACTGTTCATTGTTAATGAACTGCATTGTTAACAGCAACTATTCATTGTTAATAGCAACTGTGTCTGCTATTGTTAATAGCAACTGTGTCTGGTGCCTATCACTATAAGGTTCAAACACTCAGGGAGATTACACTGTGAAGCTAGATTCCATTTTGAACTTTATGTAGCCATAAAAGACTATATAAACATATGGGAACAAATGCTGTTTAAAAACCATGTCTAACCAGGTGTGGTAGCACACACCTTTAATCCCAGCCCTTGGGTGACAGAGGCAGGTGGATCTCTTTGAGATCTAGGCAAACCTTGTCCATATAGTGACTTCCAGGCTGGCTGGGACTAGGGAGACCCTGTCAAAAAACAAACAACTAAAAAACCCAACCAACCAACCAAAAAACAACAAAAAAAACAGGTCTACAAGGTAAACTGAGGAGACCTAAAGAGCATGTGTGCCTACAGGGAGTTAGTATTGGCAGTTGCTAACACAGACTCAATCATTTCTTTGAGTCCCTAAGATTACAGTCACTAAGACAATTACCCAATTATGAGAAATGAATATTTTAATGAAAATTAGAGGTGGTTATTTAAAATAAAACAATGTCCTTAATTACAATAATGCTGCTAAGTATCCTTAAGGACCCTATACATTAAAGAGGGCTGAACTTTAACAACCTGGACCACAATCAGGGTCAAAATTGGTAGCAGAACATTGATCATCATATAAAAGCCACCAAACACATGAAAGGAATTACAGTACATCACACATCAAACACTTTGGCCTAGTGCTTCCTTCCTCAAATTCTACTGGCAGGAAATGGTCTACATATCCTTTGAGGTGACCAGACACATTTAAAAGTAGTCCCTCGCTGAAAAAGCTCTTGGATACTGCAGTTTTCTCTCAAAAGGAGAGAGAAACTTCTGCTCAGCATTATTGACCTGCATCTGAAGCAGAGAAGTGGAGTTCCACTGATAAGGTACTGTATCTGCATAATGTAATCCATACTCCAAAGGGATAAAAATAGAAGGAATCAGGAAAATTATGTTTTCACCATGTATACATCAGGCAAATTCATCTCTAAATAACACAGATTCAACAATTATATATATTCATATTTATGAACAGAGCTAAATAACATTTTAATCTATATCATCTTATGAATCAGCTTTTCACCTTAACTTGTATATATACTTATGGGGGAATAATAAACTTCAGAAAATATCTTTCATACATATCCATACTTTAAAGATGGAGTGTACAAATGATTCTGACTCACTACACAAAAGGGGGGGCTTGTACTAAATTTTTGAAGATGTATTTTCTAATAAAATAATTGAAAGAAATTAGACAAAATACAGAGTCAGATGAAAGCAAAATTTCCAAGAGAATGCCTCTTGTGATATGAACTAAGAAAAAAAAGTCAAAATATATCCAATTTTTTCTTTCATTTTATAATTATGTTTATAACATAAATTGATACTGCTTACCAGAATGACAGAAAATTAAAGGATTACCTTTCTGAGCATTTCATTAATATCTATTCCGTCACTAAAATGAACAAATAATGCTATAGTTCTGTAACCCTATGCATTTATTTTTCCTAGATTTTGGAACTTTTTAGTTCAGTGGTACTATACCTCAGTTTTATCAGGTGTTCATTAAAATCACCTGGAAATACTGAGGTTATGTTTCACTGAACATAAGCTTCGTGGATTCTTTTCTGATCCCGAGTGACTGGGACTGTGTTCAATGCAAAGACAGCTGTCCACAGTGTGTTTGATAAGCTGACATATGACAGGGAATTCTTTCGCTGTTGTGTCAGTTTATCAAACCCATACCTGGATGACAGTCAGTCCAATTAGTCCCAGAATTCAATGCATTGCTTTCCTTTGAGAAGTTGTGTATTCTCTGATGAAGAAATGCCCCATACAAATATATATAACTGAGGCAACAATATAGAAACTGGTTCCAAAGCTAATGCTACAGCACAGTTACTAAGGTTTACTGTCTTAATATTAAGAGATTTTCATGGAAAATACCATGTTGGATAAATATAATTTAATACTAATGTATGATGAACTTATGTTAAAACACGCTTTAATTTTGCACAAAATCATCTATTTATATTTTTGGTAGTACTGTCTTATTTTGGCTCATAAATTATGTCAAGTAGGTTTTCAGATGTCAAATAAATGCTGAGAACAAAGTTGCCACAAATTAAAAACTGATACTAATATTTAGTTTTCTTGAAACTTAGCAATGACTATAAAGACTAGAATCACGGCTCCTTTGGTACACAGGGTAGTGATGGCAGAGATGAGTTGCTTGGTATTGGTCACATAGTTGTGTATATATGTAAAACTTCATCAAATTGTGTAGAAATGATAAATACATTCTTTTCTATGAAAGCCATAAAATAAAAATAAACAAAACACAAAGCAGAAAGCATTTGCTGACCATTGTTACCTATCTTCAGAGACATGTTTGTATTTATCAATATAAAATACATTGGGTATCTGTTTTTGTTTTAAAGTGAAGGTTAGAAATTATAAGCACAAACGTACTTTAGATTAAGGAATGTTTACACACAGAAGATACAGTTGCTGAACAAAAGATAAGCATTTCTAGCGCATAAAAGAAGCAAAACTATAGTGTATGTTCTAGGATAGTAATGTCAAGGGACAAAGAAAAGAAAATGAGATAAAGAGAAAAGTGTATGCAGCAGTTAATATTTAAATTGGCTTTTAGAAAACTCGCTTTAATGTAGAAAGTACAAAGATATTTTCAGTAGCAGTATTTTACATTACTAGTGATTAACAAGTACTCACATATAATATATACAGGTGATTAGCCATTAGTCATACATAGTGAATGTATGTGAAGATACTCATTTCCTAAATTCCTTATTAGCTTCTCTATTTGTGGTAGGAATATGAGGTACTTGGCTGAAAATGGGCACTAGCCAAAACAGGGTAAAATGAGAAATGAATCTTCCTCATAATGAAAATACATGACCCATACTGCATCTTACATTTACAAGTTTCTTAAGTTGTAAACATATAAAAGACATTGAAACATTATCTATTTATCCACCCATTCATCCATACTTCAGTTATCTACAGGGAATAAATCTCTAGGACACTCTTCAATTATAATATTCAATTATTGGTATTATTGAAAAAATGTAATTCTTCTATATATTCAGACACTTAAGAGAACAACACAATGTTTTATTATTTAAAGATCTGTCTTATATGGCAGTAGTTATAGTGAACAAACATTATATTACAAAGGTTCTCAAGATTCAA